CAGAGCTAAGAAGGGGAGCTGTTTACATGCTGGAAGTTGGGCACGCTCCCAAATTTGAGTATATTTTTAATGAAAATATAGATTTGACAATCTATTTTCAATTTATCATATGACAAAAAAATTACAGCTGCCACCATTTATGCTACAGAGTCTCTGCTTTCAAAAAAATATATAATGTTTTGGGTGTTTTAAGTACTGTGAAGACCTAAAATATGTATTTACCTTGTGTTCTACACAAGATAAGATAAACTTACTGTATTTTTGTGAGAGAGAGCCTGACTGTTCTGGGTTGGGAGTGGATATTTATACTTTCCATAACTTAAAAATAACTTGTCATGTGTTTTTTTTTTTTTTTTTTTTTTTTTACACAACTAACATTGCAGGCTGCCTTTGCGACTGGGTAACTTCCAATCTTTTGTACACATTTTGAAGAGGCATCAACTTTAGGACCTTCACCACTCTCCACAATCCAATTAAAGGATTCATTGACTAGTGGAATCATTGGCTAGTTTTGGTGCCGTCTTAGCCTGTTTGATGTTTGTGGGCATCACAATTCTTTCCATTGGAGAGTATAGTAAAGGCGCTTACAAGAAACTTGTATTATCTATTTTAAGTCATAATGCATATTGTACAAGTTGAGTGTACATTGCAGGTTCTCTGTAAGATCATTCTTCCAAAATGTATTTTAAATTTTAACTTGAATAAGGACTAGACTGCCTACTCTCACTACATGCCTCTTATTTATATGTGTGTGTTTGTGTGTGTGTATATATATAGATTGTAAGCTCCACAAGCAGGGCCCTCATATTCCTTCTGTACTGAAATGTATTGTAATTGCACTGTCTCCCTTATATTGTACAGCACTGCGCGAACTGTTGGCGCTATATAAATCCTGTATAATAATAATTAGAGATGAGCGAATCGAACATGACGAAGTGGAATTCGTTTCGAAGATTAGGAAATATTCGATTCGTGCCGAATCCGAAAATTAGCAAACTTCGGAAGCACGAATCGAATTTTCCCAAAAATGGCGGCGACGTGTGTGGCGACGGAGCGGGGATCTCTGGGAAGGTGCGCAGACAAGGCGCGCTGACCCATAATGCATTCATTCATGACATGTGATCGCATTAGCCAATCAGCAGCCAGCCAGCCAGCACTGTGTAATGGTGGAGCTATAAATCGCGGCCATCTTAGAATTCTCCATTAGCCTCCGGTCATTCAAGAGAGACAGACCTCTGTGTATTAGGGACAGAGTTAGGGCCACAGAGACTTTAGGGCCACAGAATCGTTACTCAGGGCCACAGAATCGTTACTCAGGGCCACAGAATCGTTACTCAGGGACACAGAATCGTTACTCAGGGACACAGAATCGTTACTCAGGGACACAGAATTGTTACTCAGGGACACAGAATTGTTACTCAGGGACACAGAATCGTTACTCAGGGACACAGAATTGTTACTCAGGGACACAGAATCGTTGAATTAAAGAGTATGTCAGACAACACGCAGAGGAGTGGCAGAGGAGGCAATGTTTCAGGAGCGAGCAGACGTGGCAGCAGAGGAAGGGGTCGAGGCAGCACTAGTCGCAGCCAGAGGCCAGTGCTCCCGGTGTCATCCAGCGGTCGTGTCTCCACCGACAACCCTGCCGTCATCGATTGGTTGGCTCGGTCGTCTTCCTCTTCCCAGGTCACCTCTGACACCTACAGCCAACGGTCGGTGGGTACGTCAGACACAACCGTTAGTTGGCATGGCCCGGGAGCAAGCCCACTGAAATCACGTGTCCTCTACCTGCCCCTGTCCTTTGGTGTTCCCTCACCAAGCGAAGTATCGCATGCTGTGGGCTCAGCCCCACTGTACAGTGAGGAAGAGCTAACAGAGGGCGGTCAGGAACGGGGGGAGACATCCGCCTCTTCAGCAGCCAGGCGAAGAAGTACTGGCGAGGAGAGTGGCTCGGTAGCCGGTCTAGAGACAGGTCTGTCTCCTGACCCACACGCAGCCGAGGGGACTAGTAGTGAGGCGGAGACCCTAATTGATGATGATGAGGCTGATCGCACTTGGCAGCCTCGTCGTCATCAGGCTATTGCTTCCGCATCATCAGGAGAAGAGGGTGCCAGCTTGGCAGCGAGCAAAACAGTCGGTGGGTTGCCCAGGAGGCAGCAGGGTCGCAGCAGTGTCAGTGGAGGCAAACGGCCACGGAGTAGAGCACCAGCTCCACTGCAGCCTACCACCACGGCCAGTAGTGGTGCCGGTGTGCACGGAGGAAGTAGCAGTCAGCCAGTGAGGAGTAGCGGGGGGGCAAAGTTTTCCTACTCGGCGGTGTGGCAATTTTTCGTCAAGCCGCCCGAGGAAGTAAACGTAGCCGTATGTCGACTATGTGGCCAGAAAAGTCAAGCGTGGCCAGGGGGCCCATGTTGGGACTACAGCGTTGCGTCAGCATATGCAGCGTCGCCATTCGGTGGCCTGGGAAAACCGTGATAAAGATACGGCGGTTCTGCCTGCCCCAGCCCCCGCTCCATCACCCGCTCCGTTACTTGCTCCGTCACCCGACGTCAATCGCCCTCTATCAGCCAGTCAAGGCTCCAACACCTCTGCTGAGGGGAGTTGTCGCTCGTTGGCATCTTCCGCTCGTTCAGATGCTCCTTCTCCTGCTACTCCTCTTCACGGATTCCGTCAGCAGTCTTTCTTGGAATCCGTTTCCAAGAGACAACAGTTTGCGAGCACGCACCCGACGGTGCAGAAGCTGAACGTCCTCCTGTCCAAGTTGCTGGTGCTGCAGTCCCTCCCTTTCCAAGTGGTGGACTCAGCACCTTTCCGAGAAATGATGGTCTCCTCACACTGCTGGTGGGTTCCATTTTGTCATAGGGTGCTGGCAGATTACGGGCCTCCCATTGCTGCTGCCAGGCCCGTAATCTGTCATGGGCCCCTGTACCGCCTCCTCATGCTGCTGCCAGGTCCAGAGTGTGTCATGGGTCCCTGTACGGCCTCCCATTGCTGCTGTCTCCATCGTCACACTCTGCCATGTGCCACTTTCAGGTCTCCTCACACTGCTGGTGGGTTCCATTTTGTCATAGGGTGCTGGCAGATTACGGGCCTCCCATTGCTGCTGCCAGGCCCGTAATCTGCCATGGGCCACCATACCGACTCCTCATGCTGCTGCCAGGCCCGTAATCTGTCATGGGCCCCTGTACCGCCTCCTCATGCTGCTGCCAGGTCCAGAGTGTGTCATGGGTCCCTGTACGGCCTCCCATTGCTGCTGTCTCCATCGCCACACACTGCCATGTGCCACTTTCAGGTCTCCTCACACTGCTGGTGGGTTCCATTTTGTCATAGGGTGCTGGCAGATTACGGGCCTCCCATTGCTGCTGCCAGGCCCGTAATCTGCCATGGGCCCCCGTACCGACTCCTCATGCTGCTGCCAGGCCCGTAATCTGTCATGGGCCCCTGTACCGCCTCCTCATGCTGCTGCCAGGTCCAGAGTGTGTCATGGGTCCTTGTACGGCCTCCCATTGCTGCTGCCAGGCCCGTAATCTGCCATGGGCCCCCGTACCGACTCCTCATGCTGCTGCCAGGCCCGTAATCTGTCATGGGCCCCTGTACCACCTCCTCATGCTGCTGCCAGGTCCAGAGTGTGTCATGGGTCCCTGTACGGCCTCCCATTGCTGCTGTCTCCATCGTCACACTCTGCCATGTGCCACTTTCAGGTCTCCTCACACTGCTGGTGGGTTCCATTTTTTCATAGGGTGCTGTATGGCCTCCCATTGCTGCTGCCTCACCGCCACACTGTGGCTCCACACTCTGGTTTTGGCCCCGTGACTGCCCAAATGAGTGAAGTGTGCGGTGATTCTAAGATCGACGGCACTCATCTGCATGTCATACTGACTGACAGTATTATTTCTCTTCCCCAGCAGACTCCAAGGGCATTTAAATTAAAGGTACAGTGTTCTGCACTAATATAAAGGCTCTCTGAAGCCTAGAAACACCCTTTTTATAAGTTAAATTCGCAGTGAATATATTCGACTCGAATCAAATTTATTCCGCGAATTCGCCGAATCAGCCAAATCAAATTTTTGAATAATAATTCGCTCATCTCTAATAATAATAATATACACACACATAATTTTTTTTTTCATCCAAGACAATTTCCTAATAGAGATGACTGAACTACTTGTGATTACATACTTAGCAAATTTGTGCTGTGGTTGCAACTTGTTTTTACTCTTGATAGTGTATACACAACTTTTACTAACAACAAAAACAAACGACTAGGCGTTAATGCCCTCAACCAGCACCGGGTAAACTAGAGTGAAGAAAAGGCAGGCAATCCCACAGCTGCTTCAATGACCATAAAGAGTATGCAGTCAAAAGAAAAGCATAAAAGATCAGAGCGCTCGTGGCAAATGTCCAGAATAGACAGGATTGACAGAATAGACAGAATGTCACAGGATTGTGACAAAGCATGTGAAACGTGTCATCATGGTAACCAGGAGTTGTTGAGATTGGTCTCCTTCCTACACCTTTCTGATGGTTCTTCCTAGCTTCCTTGTGTTCCACTGAGGTCACTTCCGGTGTGCCACGAAACCACTTGCGGTGCGCGATCTCCAGCAACCAAGGAGGTCCATCCTGCTCCTCTCATTCCTCCTGTGGAGTCTCTATCACACCGCTGGCCTTGGTCACCTGTATACCATCAATTGTGGCTCCTTCACCTTCCACCCATTGAGCTCACCATCCAGGCTCTCCATTGCCATGCTTAAAACACTGTAAGCCGCTCCCATCATTCCTTCAGTCTACGGTTTGCACTGATCCTTGTGTGACATCCATTCATGGATACATCCTTATGGTGATTCTTGCTTTTATTGCTCCATTAAACTGTTTTATATTGTCTGCTGGTTATGAACATTACTGTTTTTTATTCTGGACATTCACCACGAGCGCTCCAAAATTTTTACTAATAATCCTATCTTAAGAATCCCAGTAATGTTTATCTCCTTTTAAATGTAAAGGTCCGTGTTGGAGAAGTTGGAGGCAACACACTGGGATTTTATGGATGCCAATTTAGCCCCGAGAAGTCAATGATTGTTGCTCATGCGTTTCATGGAGCTCTTCACATGTGGCGTCAGAATTCATCTACGCAGGTAAAATAAACTTTGTCTTGTACATATGACATCTTAATTCACGAACCATTTTTTTTTTTCAAGTTTTACCTAAAAGTGGATCTCTATTTCTGGTGCTTCTATGTAGCAACACATATAATTGTACCACTTATGCACACAACACTTATACACAACAGCAATATCAAATTTGAGCTGCATGTTTGTCACAAATACATAACATTTACCAGTGTTATGTCTCTGGTATAGCTTGGCAACAACCACTCCTGTAAGGACAGTGGAGTTCTAACTGAGTTCTAGCCAAGATCCTGGTCTGTTGCCTAGACAAGGGCTGCAGCACAAGATTTCTGTCTAAAGTCACTAAAGGCCAGAGGCAGGAACAGAGTTATAAGCAAAATCCAGTATAGTGACTCTATAATACAAACGGGCGAATCAGGAGAAGTGTTAGTACTCATAACGTGCTAGCAACTGTTAGAATTGTGAATGTTTAACAGTATTTTTATGTGATCATAGTTATTTAATCAATTAAAAAATCTACATCCCTAGATCCCTAAACCCCAAGTTCATCCAAACACTAGCACAAATACTTTAAAGCATGGTGGGGATTAAACCTCTTTTCTTTATAGACCATTTATGTAGTTACACAGTGATCCCCCTTCAAACCCTTTATCTCAAGGAAGAAAAAAAAATTCAGTTAATTTCATCTTTTCTTATAGCCAAGGCCGTTTATGCCCCTTAATTAGTTCAACTGCTCTTTTCTGCATTTTCTCAGGTTCCCCACCATTACTTCTGTGAACTGGTGTCCAATAGTGAACTGCATATTCAAGATAATGTCTTAATATTGCTTTGCACATGGGAATGACTAATAAGACTGATTTACTGAAGGAGTTAAATTGAGTCAAAATTCATTTTAAGTACCTCCATACCACTGTATTGTAAAACAATGGTGGGGAGAAGGACATGCATTTTGCAAGTGCCATTTATAGGCAACACTTCAGAAAACACACTCTGGCTGTAAGTGCGCCACAAAGGTCTGTGTTCTGAGCTGTCATTGAACAGCTCAGATCACCCACAATGTATTGATGCAATCAGAGTGGCTCTTTACCTTTTTAAGATCACTGTCAACCAATCACAGTCATTAGGCATGTAAACACTAGTAGTGTTTACAAACATTCAGCTCTTTCCAAACCAAAGAAGCTTCTTTTCTTCTACTGTGAATAGGCTGAGTGCTTGTTTGTAAACACAGCAGGAAAATGAAAGGTAAATGTGGCAGGGTCTTAAAGTGCCATTGACTACCAATGATGATAGGGTGAGGATGACCACCAATGATGATGGTGCTGGATGTTTAACCACTTGCCTACTGGGCACTTTTACCCCCTTCGTGCCCAGACCAGTTTTCACCTTTAAGCACAGTTTCACTTTGACCACTTGGCCTCCAGAGGATTTACCCCCCCCCCTCCCCCCCAAACCCCTGACCAGGCTATTTATTTTTTTTAGATACGGCGCTGCGTTATTTTAACTGACAATTGTGCGGTCATGCAACATTACACCCAAATGAAATGTATGTCCTTTTTTTCCCCACAAACAGTTTTTCTTTTGGTGGTATTTGATCTCCTGTGCGGTTTTTTTTTTTTTTTGTTTTTTTGTTTTTTTAATGTATGAAAAAAAGAAAAAAACAGACCATTTTAAGAAAAAAAAAAACAATATTTTTGACATTTTGATATTAAACATGTCCAGTAAAAAAATTAAAAAAACAAATTTTGTCATAAATGTAAGCCAAAATGTATTATGCTACGTCTTTACTAAACAAAAATCCCAACACGTGTAACTTAATTGGTTTATGTGAAAGTTATAGCGTTTACAAATGGCGGTATATATACTGGGATTTTTAATTTTTTTTAATTTTTACTAGTAATGGTGGCATTCAGTGACTTATAGCGGGACTGCGGCGGGCATTCTGACACTGGGGGGAACTGACTTGGTGTCACTGACATCCCCAGTGACACCAATACAGTGATCAGTGCTAATAAAAAGCACTGACACTGTACTAATGACATTGGGAAGGAAGTGGTTAATGTAGGATGATCAAAGGGTTAACTGTGTGCTTTCTTACTGTGGGCTGTGTTAGTGCTTTCCACTGTAAGCACACGGCTTTGTATGCAAAGCAGTGTGCAGGAGCTGACGGGAGAGAAACGGTATTGCTTACATACAGTTCTCTAGCTCCATCGGTAATGCTCCGTGATCACCTTGTGCCAGCAAGTAATCACCGGCCGGGACCTAGTGATTGACAGCTAGGGCTGCGAATAGCCATTTCCCTACCTGTAAATGAGAAATCGCGTATATATACGTGATTTTGCGCAGCTCTGCTGCCCTGTAGCAGGTTATCTGCTATAAGGCGGCAGGAAGGCGGTTAAATGACAATTGTGTGCTCGTGCAACACTGTACCCATATGAAATTATTATTTTTTCTCACAGAGGTTTCTTTTGGTGGTATTTAATCACCACTGTTTTTTTTTTTTTTTTTTGCACTATAAACAAAAAAGACCGAAAATCTTTAAAGAAAAATGCATTTTTCTTTGTTATAACATTTTGCAAAAAATAATCTTTCTACACAAATTTTGGCCAAAATGTATTCTGCTATGTCTTTGGTGAAAATAACCTAAATCAGTGTTTGACTTAGTAGGTAGGAAAGTTAGAGTCCACAAACTGTGGTATATCTCTAGAAAATTGATAAATCCTGATGTACTGACAGCTGATCTCATTTCTTGTACACCAGGACAGTACAAATACCCCCCAAATGACCGCTTTACGGAAAGCAGACAGTCAGAGGTATTTAGCAAGAGGCATGGAAAGTTTTTTGAAGTTGCAATTTTTTGTCCTAATTTTGTGGCAGATGGAGAAATGAAAAAACATTTTTCACAATTTTTTTTTTTAAACATACTATCACCAGTGCAGTTCAGCATCATCGTATAACTGGTGTGGAGGTGATCAGGGACACTGACTGTGTAGACAGTATGTAAAAATTAAATACATTTTTTTTTTTTTAGTTTTTGTACATTTTTTTATTACATTTTTTAAAAATAGTTTTTAAGATTTTTTTTTTTTTGTTTCTACTCCTGTGACCAGAGAAATACAGTTACCATAGTAACATTATATTATGGGCAAGTTATCAGGATTTTTCTTTTTTTTCATATTGTTGCTTAACCAACAAATTAAATTGGTATAAGCATTTTTACTGAACGAAACTGATTCATTCAGTAGCTTTTGTTGTGATCAACTGTGATTGACCATAGCTGGTCTGTGTGTGCATCTGATTACTGTTACCAATCACAGCTCGCAGCACAGTTGTAAGCAGTGAATGGCATGTTAAGGAAGCCAGTCATTGTTTACAACTGTCATGTGATCTGCAGTGATTTGCCACCTCGATCACATGACATTGGCAGCGGCTGGTGTAGTGATCTGTCATCGGCCATGTCCGTGGACACGGCTGGTGACAGATCGTGCCACAGCGTCGCTTGATCCTGGGAGGACGTCGTATGACGTCTTCCCAAGATTAAAGGTTCCCGGTCAGACATCTTTGTACAATAGGCTGGACAGGAAGGCATTAAAGTGGAACAAATCCCTTCTATCCTTTACAACCAAAAAAGCTACCATCCTAGCTTTTGCTTGATCTGCAGTTGCCATAGTGCTGCACATACATATGCTGCATATATTGGTTGAGAGAACAAGCAACTGTGACAGTTATCATTCACAGCATGACTTGAAAGTAATGGCATTGGGAAACCATTAAATCGGTGTATTTAGTTTACTTTACTGCTACTGACCACTAATGATTGTGTGTGTTTTTTTTTGTTTTTTTATTTTAATGACAAGGGGATGTTTAAAGTGGCATTGACCACCATTGTTTGTGTGATAGTTTGTTGTGCTTTTTTTTCGGTGGGGGTGTTTTATTTTTTTTTTTACCTATACAAAAAGAAAAGATTAAAAATGCTTATTGAATACCAAAAAGGAAAGCTATATCTGGCTTTTGATAGTTATATATATAAATATCAATATATATAAATATATATATATTTTCATATATATCGATAGATCTAGATAGATATTATATATATATAGATATAGATAGATATAGATAGAGATATATATATATATATATATATATATATAATATATATATATATATATATATAGATAGATATTTTATATATATATATATATAAATATATATATAGAGAGAGAGAGAGATGAGATATTATATAGATAGATGATATATAGATAGATATACATTTGTGTTCAAAATAAATAGCAGTGTGTTGAAAAAAGTGAATAAAGCTCAAAGTCCTTCTAATAGATTTTTATTTCCATACACACAAATGCATTGGGAACACTACACATTCTATTCCAAATCAAAACATGAAGAAAAATATATCAAATTTGTGGTGTTCCTCTAAACAAATTGAAGAAAAGTGAATATTAGACTGTTCAAAAAAATAGCCGTGTTTGTATTCTTCTTTACAAACTCAAACATTCACTACAGTATATAAACTGAAAAATGTTTTGAAGATTTGCGCTTTCCTTTGAATCACTTAATGAATATTTCGTTGTATAAAGCACTGTTTCTGAGAACTGCTGTACATCTGTGTTGCATGGAGTCAACCAACTTCTGGCATCTGTGAACAGGCATTCCAGCCCAGGATGATTGGACTACATTCCACAGTTCTTCTCTATTTCTTGGTTTTGCCTCAGAAACTGCATTTTTGATGTCGCCCCACAAGTTTTTTTCTATTGGATTAAGATCCGGGGATTGGGCTGGCCACTCCATAACGTCAATCTTGTTGGTCTGGAACCAAGATGTTGCACGTTTACTGGTGTGTTTGGGGTTGTGGTCTTGTTGGAACACCCATTTCAAGGGCATTTCCTCTTCAGCATAAGGCAGCATGATCCCTGGTATGCGATAAATAGGCCCAACACTGTAGTATGAGAAACATCCCCATATCATGATGCTTGCACCACCATGCTTCA